CCACCCGGCCTCAAGATGATTTTTTTAAAAGGGAGGTGAAGCCGGGCTCAGTGGCTCAGCCTGTAATCCCATGTTTTGGGAGGCTGAGGTTAGTGGATTGCCTGAGCCCGCGGGTTCAAGACCCGCCTGGGCAACTTGGTGAGACCTCATCTCTATAATAAATAAAAAAATTAGCCAGGTGTCGTAGTGTGCGTTTGTAATTCCTGAAGCAGAAGGATCACCGGAGCCCAGCAGGTTGAGGCTACAGTGGTCAGGAGCATGCCACTGCACTCCAGTCTGGGCGACAGAGTGAGACTCCAACTCAAAAAAAAACAAAAAAGGGAGGTGGGGAGTTTCAGACAGCTGGTCAGCTGGCCTAGAACCAGTCCAGACCAGAGCTGGACAAGGAGGGGTTCCAGGATGACATCCAGAAAAGAAGCCTGTGAGAAAGCAAAGCCGATAGAACAGAAGATTTACAATTCTGTCAGAGGGCTTAGGGAGAAATTAGTGATGACTTCATGGAAGTGGATTTTTAAAAAGATAATTATTAACCTCAGGGAAAACAAAATGGTCATATCAGATATGAAGTGAACAGCAAGGAGTTCACCTGTGAACAATATTTTCATAGGCCTAATAATGTAAACACTGAAAATGGATTTAGCCAAAATTGTGATATCATGAGAAGATAGGGATAAATGAAGGGTGTGTGTTGCATGTAGATAGTGGTGTAATAAAATTAGATCCTAACTTCCATGATAGGAAATCAAAAGATAATATCTAAACAGAAAAGTCAAGAGAAAAAAACAGTACAAGTATCAGAAGAAATGGCTAAAGATGTTAATATAGTTGTCTGTGTGGAGCAGAAATTAGAGGCGGGGAGGAGTGGATAAAGGGACTGCCATTTTGTTTCCTTGATGTTAAAAGCCCTGTATTGCACTCTTTATGTATTTTTTCTTTTATTTTCATTCCTTTAGATATGACACCTTAAGAATGCTTGCATTCTTATTGCTGTAAAAGACTAAAGTAAAAAAAAAAAAAAAGGGTTAGAGAGGAAATAAGGGAGAAGAGAAAAGTAGGGTAGAAAAAAAAAATAAGGTGACGTCAGAAGTCATACAGGTCCAGTGCACATCATTTCTAAAGATAGGTTGGAAATTTGGTTCTAAGCTTTTTAGCAGCCAGCACAAAGTGGGAAATGTAATCATTTATATTGTTTCACAATGTTCAAGAGGTAAAAACAAATCACTTAGGAGAAATAGATCAATTCCTGGTACTGAGATCTAAGAGACAATTTTCCCATCTGCCCTCCTACATGTGACGTAATGAACCACATCCTCTTCAACTTGCCAACAGTCAATGCAATAATACATTTCATAGAGCTGTTTCTTATCATGTCTCTCATCATAGGTCAATGACAAAATGCCAATGCAGAGTCCAGTGAAAGCAATTCTATGAGGAGATGAAAAGTCTTTTTACTTCCGAGAGGCAATAAAGCATAGTGGCTAAAGTATGGGCCTGAATTCCAACTCTATCTCTGGAGCTGGTTACTTAACTACTACGCTGTACTCAGTTTTCTCATCTATAAGATAGGTCTAAATATCACCATTGCAAGCTTTTGTGAAGATTAAATGAGTTTATGCATGTGAAGCACTTATAACAATGCCTGGCATATATAAGCACTAAAAAAAAAATCCAGAGACTTTGAAAAAACTCTAGTTTAAAAAAAAAGACTGGGTTCGGTGGCTCAAGTCTGTAATCCCAGCACTTTGGGAGGCCGAGTAGAGAGGATTGCCTGAAATCACTGTTCAAGATCAGTCTCGGCAACATGGTGAGACCTTGTCTCTACAATAAATCAAAAAATTAGTCAGGCGTGGTAACACATGCTTGTAGTTCTGGCAGCTTGAAAGGCTGAGGCGGAAGGATCACCGAAGCCCAGCAGGTTGACGCTGGGGTGGCTGTGAGTGTGCCACTGCACTCCAGCCTGGGCGATGGAGTGAGACTCCAACTTAAGACAAAACAAACAAACAAACAAAAAACCACTGTGATGTTGATGAAGGGATAGACACACAGATCAATAGAATAGAATAGAGAAGTAGATCACACAAGTATAGCCAACTGATTTTCAACAATGGTGGAAAAAAAATCAATGGAGGAAAGATCATCTTTCGACAAATGGTGCTAAAGCAATTGGATATTCACAGGCAAAATAATGAAATTCAACCTAAACGTCACAACTTATACAAAAATTAACTCAAAATGGATAACAGATTTAAATGTAAAATGCCAAACTGTACAATTTTTAAGACAAAAACAAAGAAGAAAACCTTCAAGACTTAGGGCTAGATAGAAATCTTCAATATGACACCCAGAGCAGGATCCTTAAGAAAAATTGCACGTCATCACACTTAAAAACTTTTGCTCTGCAAAAGATCCTGCTAAAAGGATTTTTAAAAGGCCAAGAAACAGACTTGGGGAAAGTATTTGTAAACCAGAAAGTACCGCAGAAAATAACACAAGCAAAACATCTGACAAAGGACCACAAAGAACGCTCAAAAATCAACACCACAGCAGGGCACAGTGGCTTACACCTGTAACCCCAGCACTTGGGGAGCCTGAGACAGGAGGATTGCTTGAGCCCAAGAGTTGAGACAAGCCTGGGCAACATAGTGAGACCTCATTCTACAAAAGATCAAAAAATCAGACTGCCAAGTGCAGGCTTGTGGTCCCAACTACTCAGAACACAGGCAAAAGGATTGCCTGAGCCCAAGAGGTTGAGGCTGGGGTGAGCTGTGATAGTGCCACTGTCCTGCAGCATGGGTGACAGAGTGAGTCCTCAACTCAAAAATAAATAAATAAATAAATAAATAAATACCAAAGCAATAAACAATCCAATTAGAAAATGGGCAAAACCAGAAGTTCCAGGTGGTAGTAAGCTATGATCGTGCCTCTGCACTCTAACCTGGGTAACAGAGTGAGACTCAGTCTCAAAAAAAAAGAATAAGACAAAAGACACGAAGAGACATTTCTGCAAAGAGGATATACAGGTGGCAAATAAACAAATAAAAATATGTTCAACATAATTAGCCATTAGGAAGATGCAAATTAAAGCCATTGGAATGGCTAAAATAATGACAATACCAACTATTGGTGGAGAGGAGAAAGCTGACTTACATATTGCTGGTGGTCATGTAAAATAGTGTAGCCAATCTGCAAAAAAGTTTGACAACTTTTTTTTTTGAGTTGGAGTCTCACTGTCGCCCAGACTGGAATGCAGTGGCCGCTCCCGGGCACCACAGCCTCAACCTGCTGGGCTCTGGCGATCCTTCCGCCTCAGCCTTCCGAGTAGCTGGAATTACAGACAC